AGTCTGAAGCTTGCATAAGGAGCCCCAGATCCTTCTATCTTTTATCTTTGAGTCTTTTCCTTTCTTCCTCACCAGCCCATCAAAGTAAGTCCTATTGATTTTATAGCTGTGATGCCTTTTGTCTTCAAACCCTCATGCCCACACCCACTGCCCTAGTTCAAATTCTCTTTGATGTCTCCCAGGCTTTCTTTCTCCTTCACACAATTGTAAAAACAAAACAAGACAACCCCTCTTCTCAAAAAAAAAAACCCAAACCCAAACCCTTCTTAATGTGTAGGTCTGATCAAGACTTCATGTTTTCAAAAATCTTCACTACTTCATTCCCCTACCAACTCCCCTTGGCTCCATCTCCCTCCCTCCCCACCTCCCAACACACAGTGCTTCCCAAATAAAATCCAAGACCTCCCACAATCTGGCTTCAGCCTTCCCTTATTCCAAATTCCTCTTAATGAACATTACACTTCAGCCAGACTGGACTATTTGTCAATTGCCAATCTCATTCTATCCTCTCCATCCACCATACATTTACACATGCTTTCCACCATAGCTAGAACAGAATCCTCCCACATTTCTACCCTGTTGAAAAAAGATGAAGATTTCTTTCAAGTCCCAGCCCAGGTCCACTTCCTCCATGAAACCTGTCTAGTTACCATTAATAGAATTGATCTCTTCTTCCTTGAATCTCACTCTCACTCCATTTTGATCCTCTGATACCCTTGTCAATCAACTAATCAATCAACAGGCGTCTACTATGGCTAAGGCATTGTGCTAGGAACTGGGGATACAAATACAAAAGTGAGACAATCCCTGCCCTCATAAAACTTACATTTTTTCTCCAGGAAAATGTGATATGTTCACAAATCCGAATATGTATATATATATTACATTGATTTGGAAAAGAGCACTAATAATTGGTGGGTGAAATCAAGAAAAGCTTTTTGGAAGATGTGTCACTTGAGCTGAGGTGAGGAGAAGGAGCATAATTGGCATGGGGACAACCTTTGCAAAAGTACAGAAGCAGAAATTAGCATGTTGCCTGCAGGGAACCATACAATTGCACAGTTGGCCTTTGCAGCACAAAGTGAACAATGAGGAGTAATGTGAATTCAGCCTGGAAAAAGGGGTTGATGCCATATTGTGAAAGATTTTAAATATCAAGTGGAGGAGGTTGTATTTTATCCTAGGGGCAACAGGTAGTGATTGGAGTTTCTTGAGCAGGGGAGTGACACGGGCATCCTTAGCCCTCTGAAACGTATGACGTCTTATTTGTGTTCAAATCTGATACTGTGATTAGATTATAAACTCCTTGAGGTCAGGGGCTATATAACTTTTAATTTCTATATTGCTAGTCTTTAGAATAGTACCTTGAACATGGTAGGTGTTTAATAAATGTTGAGAAGAACTTAGGATAGAGGAAAATTTATTCATTTGCAGTGAAGTAAAAAATGTGTTCCTGGCATTGGATAAGCAATGTCTTATGGGGATGGCTAGGTAGCTACAGAATCTTAGAGGAGACAGAGGAGATAGTGGATTAGATCCAGTAGCTTCTATTGTGAGGTTTGGTGTAGAGCTCTGGTTTAATAGTAATCTGTATATTTCTTCCAGTGAATTTAAAACTCTTTCATGTGTAGGTTTGACAATAAAGTTATAGCCACACACAAAACCAGTCTCTATCTTAGAGTCAGGTTGCATTTTGATTTTTAGCTTTTAGAACCAAAAGACAGCTGAGAGATTTTTCTAATTCACCATATTATAGACCTAGAGAACCAAAGTAATAACTAATAAGAATAATAATAGTTGACATTTATTCAATGCCTTTATTGTTGTTCAGTCATTTCAGTCATGACTGACTCTTTGTGACCCCATTTGGGATTTTCTTGGCAAAGATACTGGAGTGTTTTGCCATTTCTTTTTCCAGCTCATTTTACAAATGAGGAAACTGAAGCAAATCTGGTTGTGACTTGCTCAAGGTCACACAGCTAGAAGTGCCTTAGACTAGGTTTGAACTCACAAAGAGTTTTCCTGACCGGAGGCCCGGCACTTTATCCACTGTACCACCTAGCTGCCATATGGTACTTTAAAGTTGCAAATCCTAGCTTTACACATGTGATCTCATTTGATTATCACAACACCCCTGAGAGGTAGATGTCATTATTATCATCCTTTTACATATGAGGAATCTGATGCTCAGAGAAAGTAAGTGATTTATGCAAAGTCAAACCTTATGCCAAACCTAGTGTATTTCCCACTAGCCCATGTATTCTCTAATGTATATTACTCTTGTGAGGTAGAAAGTGTCAAACTCTTACTATCCTTACCCTCCACAAAGATAAACTATATTAAATAGTTAAATGTTTTGACCAAAATCATATATTCAGTTTGTATCAAAACTATGACTAAAACCTATTTCTTAATTTTCAAATGACTAAATGAGACTGTTGACATGAAACAGACTAGACAAAAGTAGGATGTGCAGTTATTTTCCTAATGGTAAAAATTTTATTAATTCACCATTATCCAAGAAATACCTGCTCTCTCCCTGACCCCAATCCATTTTCCTTCCTATCTTCCCTATTTTGGTGGAGAACGCCACCATTCTTTTAGTAATTTCCTTTCACAAGGAAAGTCAATTCTACCTTTACAACCCCTTGGATCAGTCCTCTTCTTTTCACTTACGCAGATACACCTTAGTTCAGGCCCTCATCACCTATTAGACAGTCTACTTTAATAGTTTCCTATTTGGTTTTTTCCCTTCCCAATCTCTCTGCCACACAGCTGCCAAGTTGATATCATCCTGAAGCACAGGTTTGACCATGTCACTCCCCTGCTCAAGAAGTTTCAGAGGGTCCCTACTACCTCTAGGATAAAATACACACTCTTCTGTCTGGCATTCAAAGTCTTTCACAACCTGGTTCCAGTTTGTATTTCCAGATTGATTGTATGTTACTCTCACTCACATACCTTATGTTCAAGCTAAAGTGATTTATTTGCTGTTTCCTGCATACATCTGATCTCCTACTTTTGTGCTTTTGCAAAAACTCTCTGATTGGTGCAGCTAGGTGGTTCAGTGGATAAAGCATTGGCCTTGTAGTCAGGAGGCCCTGAGTTCAAATCCAGCCTCAGACACATAACACTTACTAGCTGTGTGGCTCTGGGCAAGTCACTTAACCCCAATTGTCTCACCGAAAAAACAAACGAACAAAAACTGTCTCTGATTCCTGGAATGCTCCCCTTCTTCCTCTCCACTTTACAAAATCCCTAGCTTCCTTTAAAGGATAACTTAGGTACCACGTCCAAATGAAGTCTTTCCTGATCTCCTCTACCCCATTGCTTCTGTCTCATTCTTAAAAATGATTTGCATTTACTTTGTATTTCATAGTTTACATGTTGTCATTCCTCTTTAGAATGCAAGTTTCTTGAGGACAAGTACTCTTGGCGTGTGTGTGTCTGTGTGTGTGTGTTTGCGCGTGTGCCTCCTTAGCCCCTATACAATGCCTGGCACATAGTAGGATTTTCTTAACAAATGCTTACTGAATTGTGCAATCCTTACAAACGTTGTATTATAGCAACAACAATATCATACTTGGTTACATATTTCAGGAATATACACATGTGAGTTTTCCATGAAATTCAAGTTTAAAATACCCAGCTCCACAATGCTACCCATTCTAGACTACATTAGTCCACAGTACAGAACAAAGCACAGAAACAGAAGCTTGCAGTCCCCAGTATGCCTTGGAAAGAACCATGTACAGGCTTTTCCTCTGTCCAAGTTGTGTCCCATGGGACTATAAACAGCTGAACAGGAGACTCACTACTTGGTGGCATAAGCCAATTGGACAAAAATGAAAAGAGTGGGCATGAGATTGTTTAAATGCCATAACTATCCAGCTGTGCTTGCCTCCTATCAAACAATGACAAATTCTAGTAGATTATACATACGTGCCAACATATGTAACTTTATGTTTGCGGAATGTTTTTTAGAATATTTTCCCACAGGTTATTCTCTATGTTGACTGAATTCAGCTGTTTTTTTTTTTAAATGTGTAATTTTTATTTATTTTATTTTTAATTTATGGAACAAAACAAGCAATATAGTATAATATAGCATAATATATATAGTATAGTATATATAGTATAGCATATACTATAGTATATAATATAGTATAATAAATATATAGTATAATATAATATAGTATGATAAAAAGATGATTGCACATGAAACTGCAAATCTATTATGTATAACTTGCTATTCCTTTTAAATATATAATAAAGTTATCACACAAATTTCTTTTTTTCTTCCCTCCCCCCACCTTAGAGATGACTACCATTAGACACAAATACATATATACATATATACATACATATGAAAATTATTCTACACATACTTCTATTTATCAGTTCTTTCTCTGGATACAGATACCATCTTTCTTCATATGTCCTTTGTAATTAATCTGGGTATTTATAATAGTCAAAATGACTTACTTGCTTAAAGTCATTCTTAAAACAATATTGCTGTTATTGTATGATGTTCTCTTGGTTCTGCTCATTTCACTCTTCATTATTTTGTGCAAGTCTTTCCATGTATTTCTAAGATCATTAAGATCATCATTTCTAATAGCACAGTAGTATGCCATCACAATCAAATAATTTCAACCATTCCCCAATTGATAGGCAACGCTGCAATTTCCAGTTCTTTGCTACCACAAAGAGAGCTGCTATAAATATTTAAAACATATAGGTTCTTTTCCTTTTCTCCTATCATCTGTTCTTTCGATGAATTCTTTCCTGAAAATCATTGATTCTTTTTAAGTAAACAATGCCACATGGTATGAAGTATGTCTATGAAATTAGTTTCATTATTTTACCGCAATTTCTATTTGTGGGAAAATTAGCTTTCGTCATTATTAGCCATTCTCACTACTAATACAGGGTTACTTCCTCTCTATTACCCCTCTCACAACTGTCTGTTTATTAGCTTTCTTACAAATCTGCCATACCTCATTTCCTTTGCCTCCAGCGCTGGACTTCATTTCCTTTGGTTGCTTGTAAAAGAAAACATAGTATTTAGACAAAGAAGATGAACACCTGCTAATGATATACGCCACATTGGTTTTTTCTGCCAATCATTTTTGTCACTAGAGCATGACCTAAATGTATCTTGCACTCTTACCACAGGATAAACTTACAGATCTGCCCAGATTCTACAACCTGGTACAATATCCTGTGTCAACAAATGGTTTGTTTGTGGTTTCCAAAATTGAACTGAGATGATTGAAATGAAGATATTTTTAAAACTGCATTTTCTAAAACCTAAATTTGGAGAAAGGATATGGGCACAAGACCTTTTAGAACACATTTAGCATCTGCCTAGCATGTAGTAGGCACTTATAAATGTTAGTTGACTGATGGACTTTCCCTGTCTGGAAGAAAGTCACCGGGTAACAAATCCCATCCTTCCCCATGCAGATGGACGGTACAGCAGAGCAGAGGTGTCAGACACGCAGTCCATGGGCCTCATGTAGCCTGAAATACTCCCGAGTGTGACTCAAACCAGATTAAGATGTAATTGGAAAACATTTAACAAAATAAATAAAAATGCAAAAAGACAGATAAAATCACATTTTAAAACTAGGTCAGAATACAGCCTGCAGGATCCTTAGGTATGGTTTAGCGGCTCCCATTTCTATTTGAGTTTGACACCACTGCTACAGAGAATTTGCAGGGCTAGGTTTGCTAGGTTTTTTGCACTGCTTCTAAAGTTAACAATGCACATGTATAGGTGTCTTGATGTCAAGATTTTTTTTTTCATCTTGCTTGATGACTGTTAAGAGCAGATCAGAGAAAATTCTCAGAACAATCTACATTGGCATGAGCTCTATAGGGATAGTAGCAGGAGGTAAAAGATGATGTCTGGGTAGCAACTGTTTCCCTTCTCTCCTGGACATTGAGGGGCTGTAGCCTCTACTGTTACCAGTCTTGGCAAGGGTTACCAATCTGCAGCTCAGAATATACCCAGCCAACCACCAAAAGAACAAAACAGGAAGGATTAACAGATCTACAGTAGCAGCAGAGCTAAGTCAACATTAGGATGAGAGAGACAACATTTTCCTTAGAAAGGAAAAGAACTCTGAATGGCTAATTAGGAGATCTGGGTTCTAGTCCCGGCTCTGACAATAACTAGCTGTGTGTTACTGGACAAATCATTTCCCCTCCTGGGGCCACAGAAAAATTAGGTTGTTGAACTAGATGGTCTCTAAGGACCTGAAATCTCCAAGTTCTGTGTGTGCACAGAGTTTTGTTTGGCTCTTTGTTCACCCTCCTTTATCACCATGGTCTGAAGTCTTTCATTTGCTTTGGATTCAGAGGAAGAAGTGGCCACAGGAAAAGGCTTATTAGTGACAGAAAGGCAGCTGCTTTATATACAGGTAGAATATATACGTATTAAACACATTATATATTTGCATATATAATATATAAATGTATTCATGTTTATACATTATATGGAGATGGAATAAAATAAAATAGGATATCAGAGTTGGAAGGGGTCAACCTATCTCTGAAACATATATCCCCCTTTATGGTATCTGTGATAGGTAGTTATATAGCCTTTGCGGGGAAACTCGCTAATAACTAGGTTCATTGGATCAGAGGGAATAAAAACCTAAACATCTACTTTGTTATTCCCTTTCTTGTGTTTAGACAACATCTTGCCAACCCCATGTGACTTCTTTAACTCACCTTCCTTCCAGCCCATGTTCTTGTCTCTCCTTATTCTTCTTTTTATTTCCAAATATTGAAAAACTCTTGACAGTTCTTTGAAAGTAAGAATTGAATCTAACCAAAATACTGTTGAGCCGTGGGTGCTAGGTCAGTGACATGAAACTTATACATTTTCAATAAATGTTTGACTCTGGATTATGAACATTTCTTAAGCTAAATGGACTGAACTATTTGATTTCAATAGAAAACACTCAACTCAAACCATTCCTCAAAACTCCAAACCAAAGAAAAGCTGGTATTGGACAAAGTGCCATGATACATATATGTATATCCTAATACATCAGTTAAGGAGGCAAGGTAGTGGGAAGTTGGGGGAGGGTGTGGAGGTGGTGCTGAAGAACTGTCCCTGGAGCTAGAGGACCTGGGTTCAAATCTAATCTCTCATCCCTGTTATCTCTGTGACCTTGGGCAAATCCCTTCTGGGACTTAGTTCGTCATCTACAAAATGAGAAGTTGAACTAGATAGACTTAGAGAACCTTCTAGCTCTAGAATCCTTTCATCTCTCAGGACTGAAACTTGTGGAAGCCAGAGACCACATCAGATTATGTTCAGCACACTTAGAATTGATACACCATGCATATCATTAATTAGAGTTGTGAGCTATACACCCTAAGGAAAAGCAACAAAGTCTTTGGAAAATAATCTAGGAATTAAATGAAGGAGAACAAAGGGCAATAATAGGAAAAGAACTCTAGCCTAAGGGAAGAGAAGGGAACTGAACTTTTGATCAATAAACAGGAAGGAGGACTTGGCCAGGAGCCTTCTAGCTTCTATTCCAGATGGGTTTGTGTTTAGCAATCATGTCGGAGAACCTCTGTGTTTCTAGAACTGATAATCTAAAGATGAGTTTTTTTGTTTTAGGCAATTGGGGTTAAGTAACTTGCCCAGGGTCACACAGCTAGTAAGTGTTAAGTGTTTGGTCTGAGGCCAAATTTGAACTTAGGTCCTCCTGACTTCAGGGCCAGTGCTCTATCTAGTATGCCACCTAGCTGCCCCTAAAGATGAGTTTTTAAGCCAAATTCACTGCTATTGGATAGCACCCTTCATCTGTTACAATAATCATAACAAGAATGCTAAGTAAATATTATGACTTCTGGGGACAAACTGGCTCTTTGTGTCATCATCGTCATAATCAGCAGCAGCAGCAGCAATATCTTATCCTCCTCAGGCTCCTCATCACCATCTACTAAGTGCCTGGAACTCTGATAGCCATTACAATAGCATTGTTCTCCAGTGAAATCACAAATAGTCCATATCTCTTTTAACAATCAAAGAAGAACAGCATTGTGCATTGTATTTTAGGGAAATAAAGTCGAGTATTAACTGTCAAGCTTACCAAGTGTCGAAATTCCACTGAGAGACTACCATTGGAAGATTCTTCCATGTTCATGGCTTTGACATGTGTTCCACAAAGGATGAACCTACGGTTGCTAGAAAACAGATCTTAGCTATTTACATGGTAGCAGATATAATATAATTCAGGAACTGTCTAACAAAAATTGTCTAGGGAGATTGCTTACCTTACAGTTGAAACGTTCCTGTAAAATCAAATAAGATTCTTTAAAACCATCTGTTCATTATATGTAGTCAACCCTTTAAAGAAAAGTAGCTAACATGCCATTTTAATTATACCAAATTACTCCTCAAGTCTTTATAAGATCCCCATTAATGTATTCACAGTTAAAAGTTAAATATTTTCATTTCATTAATGTTTAATTGTTAAGATTGAATCATTAACTTATAGACTTGTAAAAATGCGTAACTCATAGTTCATTTATAAATCATATTCACTAGTATATTCTGATATCTCATACATGTCAACATTAATTAACCATACATGTCAACATTTTAAATATTCACTTACTTGTCAATAGTTGCTTTAACTTTTATCTGATAGTTTAGTTCAGGCAATTTAATCAGAAGTCTGAAACAAGTTAACAAAAAATGACCAAAAATCAGATTATACAATCTCCTTTTATACTTTAAAAATAGTTATGGTTATGGAAGATATACACAAGTAACAGTGTGATTAATGTTAGAATCACCTGCATTTGTAAGTTAGTGTCCAACAAGTGTTTTGAAAGTCAGCAATTCCATATTCAGTTTGCCAGCTTAACATCATTCATTTAGCTAGTCTTAATGCTATATGACTAACATCTGGAAAAGATCTTTTCCCAATATTGTTTTAGCATAGCCAACTTCATCAAGATGAGCAGAATCATATCAACATTGGCCGGTTTGGGAATTCAATTCTATGTGTACTATTCTGGCTTAGATCTTGGGAAATATCTTTGAAGAAGAAATAACTATTAACAAATGTATTAAATGAAGACTTTGTAGTTTTTCTGAGAAAAACAATCATTTGTTGGTTTACGTCTGTATGCCTTGATGACAAGTTACGCTGTCGAGGCTTCTGGTAGGCAACATAAGATTGTGCAGTAAATAGGCACTTGTAAGATCTGAGTGTGCTATTTCTTAACAACAAGAAAAAACAACTTTAGTAAACTTAGAAGACCCAACTTTTAAGAAATAAATAACTGCATCTTTTCTTAGCTATGTACATATGATGCTAATTAATGAGCATGCTAAAATAGTTGCACATTAATGAACATTAACCGAAGTTTGATTTTTAGGCTCGATATAGGAGATGACAGCTGAAGCCCAGAGAATGTAACTGACTTTCCCTAGGTCATAAAACTAACAAGTAATAGAGTAGGAGTTTGAACTTGGGTTATCTCATACTAAGCTGATTGCTTTTTCAAGTTCACCCCCATACTATCTCTCTATATGTTTTATAACATCAAGCTAATGTCTGAAACAAGGAAGATTTTAAAAATCACTGCATTGTTCTCCTATTTACACTTCTCATCCCCCAAACTAAATATTTATTTAAGGAAAGTCTTATCCTTTAATCAGAGGTCCCTGCATATGAAAATCCTTGCTGAGTTTGGAATCTTGGTGGTGAATTTTAGTTTTCTGAAGTTTAAACATTCTTTTTGAAACACAAACAACTTCATGTACTAATGAAGTAACTAATACCATGCAATCAATATAGAACCTCTCATTTTAAAAAATGCACAGAAAAGAACAGAAGAAGGTCAGTGGGAAACACAGCCAAGTGGGATGACTTTGAAAATTTCATGTTGAATGTGTTATATACTTGGAGGGAGAAGCTTGCTGTACGTGAAGCAGATTTGAACCTGTATGGCCAATGTTCTTTTCCTCTTCTGCTTTGTATGTGGAAATGCTCACATTATATGGTGTTTTTAAGTTCAAAAAACATTTTTTAAAGAAAAAAGGTAGAACTTCTTAGCTAAATAAAAAAGCTCCCTTTCATAACTGCAGCATAAAAATAATAATGTAAGGTAGTCCAATTGTTCTTTCCTCCCATAATGCTTTTAGACTGATTGAATAGAATCATTACCCAGTTTTTATCCATAGCTGTCTTGTCCTTGTAACTTATTTCACATCTGCAGATTGTGCTATCGATTGTCATTGCTAACCACTGTTCTTAAATGAGACTGAAAACACTTGAGGTCCAGTTTACAGGGTGAATTTAATTTTGGGGGGGGTCCAGACCTATGATTTTATCAGTATAAGGAAGTTCTGTTGTGGAAACTCCTTCTGCTGACGTGGCAATTCATCTGTAACATGATCTTAGGGAATTGCTTGGAATTTAAGTGTTTTGCCCACAGTAACACAACACGACTAGCATGCAATGTGAAATGTAAATATAAGATTTGAACGCAAATCTTCCTGACTCCAAGACTGATCTGATATCTACTTGGCCATGCTTTATTTTTGTTGATATTTATGTTTTATCATTCCCCCAAAAAGTCAATCAAGAAATATCTCATATTTAACTTAAGAGCACAAGCTACCTGATAAAAGCAGAAGACCAAGAAGTGCACATAGATTAGGATAAAAGACCTTATACTAGGAAAATATTCAATCCCTTGTGATACTATTTTACAATCTAAATTTCCTAATGGGGAATTGCCAGTGGAGTAGGGCTGGAGATTCCTTGCCTACTATATTCATCAACAAGCATTTACTAAGTGCTTACTATGTCCCAGGCACTGTGCTAAATGTTAGAGATATGGACCAAAATTAAATAGTCCTCATTTTTAAAGGGCTTACATTCTGCCAGGGGAATATAGAACAAAATATATTTTGTTAGCACAAATTAAATACAGCTATCGCTTCCACATTGCAGGGGATAGGGTCACAGTGCTTCTGTGATATGGAAAATTTGCCTAAATTTTTCTGGCCCAGTGACTTGCCCAGAGTCACACAGCTGGTGACTGTTATGTGTCTGAGGCTGGATATGAACTCAGGTCCTCCTGACTCCAGGGCCAGTGCTCTACCCACTGTACCACCTAGCTGTCCCTTTTCTTTCTTTTATGGAGTATTTATAGAACCTAATTATAAAATATGGATTAAGTATTTGGTCATAGTCATACCTTTGCATGTTGTCTGCAAAACTCCCCCAAAATTTCCATTCAATTTCTTATGTCAACCCATGATATGTTGAAACCATGGTTGTGAAAGTTGTGATGTGGAAGGGATAACTGCACAGGGTTATTTGGGGAAAGGAGCATTACCAATTGAAAGGATCAGAAAAAAGTCCCATGTAGGAGATGGTGTTTGAGTTGAACTTTGAAGGAAACTAGGAATTCTAAGAGACTGAAACAAAGAGGAAAGACATTTCCTGCCTAGGGGAAGGCCTGAACAAAGGTCAGCACATAGACAAGGTTTGGCAAACGTAATCAGACTGAAGGTAGGCTGGAGTCAGATGGAGAAGAATGCTAAATGCCAAACGTAGGAATATCTATTTTATCCTTTGTTTTGTCATTGTAAATCCTACCCAGAGTTTAAGGGTCAGCTCAAGTCCCATCTTCTTTCTTTACAAAGACTTTCTGAATTACTCCAAACTGAAATAGTTCCTTTTGAATTCCTATAGTATATCCAGTCTATACTAGAGTACTCTGGACTTACATGATGTACTGTATTGATTATTTCATATGCTTGGGTTCACTTCACTGATCTGTAGGCTCCCTGGGGAACTAAATTTTACAGTCCTTTTGTATTTCCCACAACGCCCACTACTTAATATTTGGTATCCAATTCGATTCAACATTTGCTAAGCATGTGAAAGACACTATGCTGGACTTTGTGGCCATAGAGACAAAAACAAGGCAGTCCCTACCCTCAAAGAGCTAACCTTCTACAAGGGGGTTGCAACATGTACAAAGATAAGTACAGTTATCCCTTCCACATGGTGGGGATGAGGGTGCAGTGCCCACCCCCTTCACAATTTGAAAAATCTGCATAAAATTTTTGGGCCCTTCCTTTGTGCCAGAGAAGAAGTCTGAATTATTATGGTAATAAAGGTTAATTGTACGATACTATACATATATTTTGTGCATTTCTGAGTTTCTAAACTTTTTCTGTGTCATCTACTGGCTTTCACACATCGTCTACAGCTTCTGCAAGACTCCCAAAGAATTCCCATTTAATTTTTTATGCTGACCTGCAATATAGATGGGGAAAGCTGCAATGTGAAAGGGATAGCTGGAGATATAAGCTTTGATAGATTAAAACAACATCAAGACTTCTGGGATACCAAAGTATTTAGACAAAGTTTCTACAAAGTAATTTCAATATGTAGAAATTACTTAACAATAGTGAAGATAAGGAATGGAAAAGCCTCACATAGGCAAAGGTATCTGGAAATGGAGAGGGTAGAACCAGTTTTGAAGGAATCTAGGAATTCTAAGAGCTGGTGAGAAAGGAGTGGATTTCAGACATAAGGGACAGCCTGGGCAAAAGTACGGAAATAGAGGATGAAACGCCAACATAAGGGGAACAACAAATGAGTTAATTCGACTGGAGTGGAGAGTGTAAGCACAGGAATAATATTAAATAAGACTATAAAGGAAGGTGGGAGTCATGTAGTAAAAGGTTTTAAATACTAGGCTGAGGATTGTGTATTTTATCTTAGAGAATAAATGATACTTAGGGAATGCCTAATGATACTTTCATCTTCTATGATTTTTATTCCACCAATGTAAATAAGTACCAATGCCACTAGTACAGATTACAATCCCCCCAAATACTTAGTAGACAGTCTTCAAGGATCCCTTTGGCCAAAAAAAAATTATTGTCTGCTGTCGACCTGGTGATAAGCCTTTCTCAATTTAGCTAAATTGGTCCTTGGTTGGATTATAGACATGCAGTCCACTCTAAGGCCTATACTTGAAGTCACTCCAGTTTGGTAGGACTTGCTAAGAGTTTGTCCTCTGCTACAATTCCATGTGAGAGTTTAGATTCATGTCCAAGCCACAATGAAGCATTAGAGGGGAATGTCAATGGAGGAATTCTTGAAAAATTATTTTAAATATACTCAACGTTAAAATTAATCTAAACATAATTGAATATTTCTCAAATGGCCGTAGGGCAGTGCAAAATCTTGAAATGCCTTCTGAGTCATCTAAAGATCTTGCAATGCCCTGGGGCCATTATTACAAATGTCAATTCTCATTGTATTGTAAATAAGGAGACAGTATAGAATTATGACTGATAGAATGCTGGAGAATAGAGAGTTTGCAGAAACAGATTCACTTTATCATTACAATTAAGATGCTGGCCTCACAGATAGGAGGATATGGGCAAGAGTAACTAGGCAGACTGGAATCATTTGAAGCCCAACTTTAATAGAATGCTTGGAAATATTATGATAATTATAATGCCCGAAAACTGGGAAGACATACAAAAACTGTTACAAAAATTATTATAATAATTTATATTATTATATTGTTATATTATAATAAATTATATTGTTACAAAAACAAAAATACAATGCCTGAAAACTGGGAAGACATACAAGGTACAATTATAAAGACCAATTTTATCTCATGGAAATCAGTCTCATTTCCTCACACTCACTTCACATTTTTATTAAAAGTCTTCAGTTCCTAGTAGTAGCGCCTTCTGTCATTTCTTGGGGCTGTCAGCAGTCAGAGTAGCACAGATTTCTCATAGGGTTGTTAGTGTTGATGAGTTACACTGACTCATAGTGAGAGCTCTATCTTAAACAATGTAGCCCCTAAGGCACAGTTAAGGGCTTCATAGAAACAGAAGTACAGATCCTAAAGAATGGTAACACTTGATTAAGAGATAGCATGGTATAATGGATAGAAAGCTGGTCTTGAACTCAGAAAGACATGGGGTCAAATCTTGCCTCTCATACATATTAATTGTATGATCATTGGGAAGCCAATTAACGTCCTAGTGTTCCCAGACAAATCTTTAAGACTAAGATAAAGGCAAATTGCCCATCTGCATAGTTTTTGTTGTTCAGGAGTGTCTGACTCTTTGTGACCCTATGTGGGGTTTTCTTGGTAAAGATACTCAGTGGTTCGTCATTTCCTTCTCCGGCTCATTTTATAGATGAAGAGACTGAGGCAAACAACGTTAAGTGACTTGCCCAGAGTCACATAGCTAGTAAGGGTGTGAGGCCGAATTTGAACTTAGGTCTTCTTGACTCTAGGCTCAGTGCTTTAGCCACTGTGCCACCTAGCTGCGTTGACAGAGGGAATTTCTACTACAGGAACTCTCTGCATCAGTGGAATCACAATCTATATACTGCTTCCCACAAAGTTGATTTCTCTAATACTATAGACCCGCCTATCCCCATATGGGGATAATGTTTCAATAGGGATTCTTGTAGGCCTAACAAAAGTCTGAAATAAGAATGTGAAAACATGAAGAAGGAGGTAAAAGTGGTGAATATATTTTTGAACAGAGAACAATGTATAGAGGGAAGAAAGTAAATCAGATATTTTTACCTTTCTCAATTCTAAACCTTTTATAGGGACATAAATGCAGCTGCATACTTTAGAACACATATTAATTGCAACAGTACATACTAATGGTTATTCACAACATTCACTTTTTTCACAAACCCATAAGGAACAAAAAATTTCCTTGTTTTTTTTTTAATTCCATTCATTTGACTTTGCCATTTATTAAATGTACATACAAAGGCCCTGTTCTAGTCTCTAGAGATACAAAGATAAGGCGCTTCATTTCATTTGAGAGTAGAGGTGGTATACAACATGTATACAAGTCAATAAATAATAATTATATATAATGTAATATAAATTCATTTGGCAGGGAGAGTGTTAATAACTGGGGGGATAATCTTCAAATAAATTTTGCTACCTACATAAACATATATACACATACATGATATGTCAGTTTCCAGAGATACAACATATTGACCTACCTTAGTTTCACAGTGAATTGTATGAGGGTTTTAAGTACCAGTGGTCTCTGGGGGTGAGTTGGCATGCATGGCTGTCGTTCGACCACAAATGAGCTAATAGCAAAAAACAAAAAACAAACAAAAAAAACCATGCATGATTTGAAAACACAAAGAATATAGGCAAACTGAAAGCCACAGATGAATAGGTTGAATTTTTCTGAAGAAGGACATACCCTGAGTCAAGTTCCAATCTTGCCATATTTTTCTGATGAGAAAACCTCATAAGATGGGAATATTCTAAGTCATTCTCCTAATTATGAATAGTATTCACCACACATGAACAGGATATATAATCAGAAATAAAAAGTATCAGAAAATTTCTGACCTCATTTCAAATAAACATTTTCTTTAAAAAACAAAACGGTAACAATCACAACCCTCTTACTTTCTACATGAGGAAACTGAGGCCTAGTGTGGTGTCTAGTTCAAGGGTCATCCAGGTGGTAAATTACAGAGTCTTCATTCAAACCTAGGACCTGTAACTCCCAAACCAGAACTCTTTCTACAGCACCACATTGCATTGACATGTTCTCTCTTTACTTTCATAGCATCCAGTCAAAAAGAAACCATTAGAACCTCCTTTTCTCGAAGGTAAAAACTGAGCCAGTGATGGATGCTCTGGCTTATCTGACGTCACACTGAGTGAGTCACCAGCAGAGGTTGCAGGATAGAAAACAGATTTTTCTGATGCAAGTCTACCTAAGTGACCTTGACAAGTCATTGGTACGTTATGCCACTTGACAAATTCCTTGTTTCCTTACCTTTTCAACCCCACTCTTTAAACCCTGACCAATAAACCACAGGCAGTGCATACTTTCAATTTCACAAGACCTGAAACCTGAATGACATTTAAGATGGGTGATACTTTACGTACTTTCGGAAAAGGTTGTAGATCAAGAAGTTGACTTGCTCTTGCAAATGAGGCCTTTGCAATGGAATAGGATCACCTTCATATGACACTTTGGTGGATTGCTCATCTAGCTTTTCCATCTGCCTTCTGACTTGGAAAAGACTTTCTGCCAACAGGGTAAAACTATTGAAAAGCAAAGGAAGATAGAAATAATTTTTTTTTTAAATTTAACAATTGATTTTTCCCACCTCCCCATGCTTACTTTGCATTAATTCTTAATCATAATATATATCTGTATACACACACATATACACTCATATGTATAAATTAACACACAGCTAGATGGTGCAGAGGACAGAGTGCACTTGGAGTCAGGAAGACCTGAGTTCAAATCTTGCCTCAGATACTTATTAGATATGTGACCCTGTGACCCTGGGCAAATCACTTAACCCTGGGGTGGGGAACCAGCTGCCTAGAGGACACATGTGGCCCTCTAGTTCCTTGGGCGTGGCCTTTTGACTGAGTCCAAATTTTACAGAACAAATCCTTTTATTAAGGGGATTTATTCTGTAAAGCTTGCTTCAGTCAAAGGGCTGCACTTGAGGACCTAGAGGGCTACATGTGGCCTAGAGGCTTCAGGTTCCTCACCCCAATTAACCTCTGTCTGCCTTGTTTTCTTTTTTCTTTTTCTTTTTTCTTTTTTGGCAATTGGGGTTAAGTTGCCCAAGGTCACACAGCTAGGAAGTGGCAAGTGTTTGGTCTGAGGCTGTATTTGAACTCAGGTCCTCCTGACTTCAGGGCCGGTGCTCTATCCACTGCGCCACCTAGCTGCCCCCTGCCTTGTTTTCTTCATCTGTAAAGTGGGCATAATAGTGCCTACCTCACAGGATTATTGTCAAGAACAAATGAATTAATACACACAAAGTGCTTTGCAGACTTTAAAGTGCTTTATAAATGCTAGCAATTATATACACATATATATGTGTGTCTGTGTATACAAACATACGTACACACATATGGCAGGTGTTCCCTACTTCATGGCTTACATTTCTAAGAAAAGGCATGTTTGCGAAATCTCATCAACATCTGAAACCAATTGTAATAGATTAAGTCCCTTTTGTTCTTGCTTAATTAAATCACTCGTAAACACCTCCAAATATACACTTGGAACATTTAATATTGAACCCATGACCAGGAAAAATCCTGGTGATTTTATTATTCTTTTTATCATATAAAACATGATCTAAAGAATGTAACATATGTATTAATCTTTTTGTGTGATGTATTGCATATATCTATTACTAGTAACAAAAAAAAATCATCTTATCTTTGTCATTTGTGGTATACTCAGCAAACAGCAGTTGCCTTTGAAACTCCTTCAGGAGAAAAATACAATTTTAAAAGTCTTAAGTATGACTTTCACTAGAATTCATGAGGATTATGGTGAATTTAGAAATGTTTTCTCCTCAAATTTGTTTAGATGTTAAGCTGTTTG